ATATATTTTCTTTCAAAACTATAATTAAAAGAATATAAAATTAATAATAAATACCTTAATATAATTGAAAAAGAAAATAAAATAAAAAACTTTATTAAATGTTCCTATAATATTTTAAGTTTTTAATTATATAATGGTGATAAAAATAATATATATATATATAAACCTTACTCTATTAGTCCAAATTTACGTTTTATATTTTTTTGGCTTAAAAATAATATAAAAATAAGGTTTTTTTTCTAATATAATTCAAATTTTATTACCTGAATTAAGCTTTGATTTTTAAAAAGAAAATTTATTTGAAAAAAAGGAATTAAATTTATTTTTTCTTTAATAAAAGATTCTAAAAATGTCCTATTTAGAAAATTTTAGAAAAGTATTTAATAAATTGTTGACTTAACAGATACTGAAGAATAAAACAAGCAAAAATTAATTTAATAAATAAAAGAAAACTAAAACGAATTGAATGATCTTGAGATATATTTATAAAAAATAAACTTTTAACTATAAAAAGAAAAGCTTAAACAAGAAAATAAACAAAAAAAAACCAAAAAAGATTAGATATAAACATTTTAATATAATACTAGAAATAATAAAAATGAAAATATAATAAATTAATAATAATGAGAAATAATATTAAATACTTATTTATATTTTTTGTAAATATATAATAATAACATTAAAAATAAAAAGTTAAATTCATATTAATAAATATCTTCTAATTATTATATTATGTAATTTATTTTACATATATAATATCTTATATATTTTTTTATAATTAATTTTTTTTTTTAAATATAAAATAACAATTATAATAAATTCAATAATTATATGATTATAAAAACACCCAAAAAAATATATTTTATATATATATATATATATATATATATATATATATATATATATACATATTTATTTTGTTTTATTTTTTTTATTTTTTTTAATTAAAAAAAGAGTAAATTTTTAAAATCTTTTTTACACCAAAAATATATTTCTTTTGTACTACTATTACTATATTTATATTACAAAAAATAGTTTTTATAAAATTTATATACATTCTAAGAACGTATATTAACAAATTTATTCCAAAAAACTAAAACATCACATTTTTAACTCTATTATTAAAAAAGTTATTAAAATTTTTTTATTTTCATATTTAATAGCCCCGATATTAATTATAAAATTCATATTAAATAATAAAAATTAGTATTTTTATCGATAATAATATAATTTTCTTAATATTTTCGACAATGAATTTTCATAGAAAATATATAAAAAACAAAAAAAATTACTAAATAAAAGTTTATATTTATTTAATTATAAAATTTCATAATTTTTTTTTTAACTAAAATTTTTATTTCCTAAAAAAAATAAAAAAAATCTTTTTTTTTTTATTAAAGAATTTTCTTATTTTTATATTTTGAAATATTTATTAATTAATATTTTTTTTTTTATTTTTTATTTTTAATTTTTAAGTCTTAAAAAAATAATTACTAGAAGGAGCATATATATAAGATTTTTTAGGAATATTCTTAAAAAATTATAAATAATTTAATTGATGTTTTAGACTATTTTATTTATAAGATAATTATTATTAATTTATAAAATATATATTTAAATTAATAAATTAAAAGTTAAAATGTTTATATTATTAAAAATATTACTTAAATAATATTAGTTATTTGTTTTTTTAAAGTTTTATATGAAAATATGCACAACTATATAATATAGAATAATAAATAAAGACAAAAATTATCATATAAATATATAAAATAAAAATATAATAATTGGAATTTTTGTAAAATATTGTAATGTAAAATTTAATAAATAAAAAAAAAAAGTAATAATTTATAATAGAATAATTTTCAATTTTAGATTATAATAATATATTAATATTTTATTTAAAATAAAAAAATCTAAAGATAAAATTAAAAGTATTCTTTTTAATTATATAATATGACGTTTATAAAAAATATAAATTAAATGAGTTTAATTTTTTTTAAATATTTAATTGCAATTAAAATTTTATATTTATAAAAAAAAATATATATTTAGTCATAGAAATTTAATAAAATTAAAATATAATATATATAAATATTAGTAAAAAATATTATTATATATATATATTAATATATTTGTTAATTTATATAAAAATTAATATATACATTAAATTACTTTTAGAATTTTGATTTATAAAATAATAATAATTTTAAATTATATTTATTATAAAATTAATTAATTTAAAATTTTTAATAATTCTTAAAAAAAATTAAAATGAAAACCTAATTAATAAAATATATTATAGTATTAAAATACTAAATATATATAAATAAATATAAATAATAATAATTATTTTTATATAAATATTAATATATATATTTAAATTTATATATATATATATATATATATATATATATATTTATTTTATCATATATAATCATTTATATTTATATACATTATAAATTTATATAAATTTTTTTTAATATGCATAATAATAATATTTTAAGTTAAAACTGTTTACAATAAAATAGAACATAATTTTCTTATGTATATAATTAATAACCTTAAATAAATATTTCTTAATATTCTATATAATCCCAATAAACATACCCATAATTTAAATATGAATAGCCTTTTCGTTAATAATTTAAATCTTCTGAATATACATTAAGAGATATATTTAATAATATTCAAAAGATTACTGATAATAATTGTTTTAAATATTATAATTAATAAAACCCTCATGAAATATAGAAAAATTTAATGAATAAAACTGGTTATAATATCTAATCTTTTAAGAACCAATAAAATATATATATAAATAATTAAAATATTTATTAAAAAGAATGTGAATCCTCCTAAAACAAAAGAGTTACATTTAATTTATTAAAAAACGATATAACTGACATTGATGAGATAGAAAAAAACTTCAAAATAGAAATTCTTCTAATGATATTATATAAATTGAAGATAATAATCACTATTATAGAAGTAGGAGATGTTATTCTAATTATATCCCTTCTTTAGGAAATTCTAATAGGAATTTATATATAAAAAGTCCAGTTAAAAGCAGCTTGAAAAATTCTAAAATAATATTAAATAATAACAATAATGAAATAATAGAAGAAAAAGTTAATTATATTGAAAAAACTAATTTTATTGAAAAAAATAATTTATTAGAAAGGTCAAATTATTAAGAATAATAAAAAAATATAGAAATTCTAATAATTAATTAAAAATTAATAATGTTTAAGATAGAAATTAATTAAAAAAAGGAATTATAGACTATAAAGATGGGATTAAATATAATGGAGAGCATATTAATTTTTAAAGAAATGGTTATGGAACATTATTATCTTAAAATTTTTAAGTTATTTATTAAGGACTTTGGAACAATGATATATATGAAGGTGAAGGGTGTATTTTTAACCTTAATTCTCATAATATTTTGGATGATTATGATTATTATAATTTCGATGAGGCACTTAAATCATATTGGGAAATGTATAAAGGAAATTTTTTGAAAGGAAAAATGCATGGTTTTGGCACTCTTTAACTTACTAATGGATAAAAATATGTTGGGTATTTTTATGAAGGTAAAGTTTGTGGAAAAGGGATTTTTTATTAAAACGGGGGGCCTGCTATTTAAGGATTTTGGAAATAAAATGATCTTATTTAGATTTAATGAATTTATATTGTTTACTATTTTTTTTTTTTTTCTTCCTTCATTTTTCTTTTTTTTTTTTTCATTTTTAGGGAGTTTTATTTTAATAAATAGATTTATTTTTATTATTATATATTTTTTATTTTTGTATATTTTTTATTTTTGTATATTTTATTTTTTGAATAGTTTATAATTTCTTTATTTTTATTTTTTTTGTTAAAAAAAAAAAATTACTTTTTTTATAAATAAAAGTATTTTTTTATTATTATCATTAATTAGTTTTAAAAATAACAAATTAATTATTTTTGTCATTATTATTGTAATTTTTATTATGTCCTTTATCTTAATTTTAATTTTTTAATTGGTTTTCAACAACTTCTAATTATTCAATTGCAGTTTAGATTTACTCAATATTTTAATTTCTAAAAAAAGAATAAAAAAATAAGAAAAAAAAAAAGAATAAAAATATACTCTTTAAATATCTAATTTAATAAAGAAATAGTATTTTAAATTTTATATATTATTTATTAAGAATTCTATATTTAAGTATTTTATACTTATTATAATTGATTGTATTATTATTTTTATTTTTAAAAGTTTTATGTATTATTCATTAAAGGGTTAGAATTATCAGCTTTTGTAGATTTTTAAAAATTTGAAAAATTCTCATTTTTATTATATAAAATAAGTTATTGATAATTATTATTATTATGTTATTCACATTGTATTTATTATACTTAAATTTTTGTAACATTATCTGAATTTGATTTTTAAATATTGTTTAATCCGAAATCTAAAACTCTTTAAGGAGAGTTTTTATTTTCTTAAGTTTAAATATTATAATTAAGATTAGTGTTATGATTAGTAAATCCTGTTGAAAATAAAATTAAGTTTTTTCCTCCTTATTATTTTGTTTTTATACCAATTTCTTCATTTATATTATCATTTAATTAATTTAAATTTAATAATTATAAATTATTTAAAGAACATTATTATTAATTATTTTTTTCTTTACTCAAAATGTCGTTTATTTTATTTGCAGAATCAACAATTAACTATAAATTTTGTATTTAAGGATACTTTAAAAAAACCTATAAAATATCAGACATATCATTTTTTTCTAATACTTAAAAATTAAAATTAATTTTTTATTTGATTAAATATATATAAAATAATATATATATATATATATATATATTTATATATATATATATTTATATATATATAATTTTATATATATATTTACAATCATCTCTCATATATAATATCATTGCTAAACAAATACAATCAATAAAAAAAAAATTATCTTCAATATTAACATTATTATTTTCAAAGCTTTCTAAAAAAATATTATCCCATAAAAACATTGCATTTTATATAGAATATTCTCTTGTATATACACATCTTATCCATCTTAAAAGGAATATTTAAAATTCTACATTTAATAATTTGAAATGTTTAAATAATTCTAAATCAATTATTTTCAAATAATTGTCCTATATTCTTGAAATTCTTAATAATATAGCTTATTATTTTTTTGAATTAAAATTATAATCACTTTTTTTTTTGATAAATTCTATCTGAACATTTCTATATGCCCTATTTCCATCATTTTACAAAACAAAGTATAAATATCAGCCTCTATATATTCTTCATTATATAAAAATTCAATCATTTCTTTTTATCTTTCATTCTATATTTTGTCTTTATTATTTTATATATATAAAAATTCTGAAAAAAAAGCAATTAAAAATGTCGCAGCTACTTCATTCATTCCTTTTTATATATTTATTTTATTATTTATTTATTTTTTTAAAAAAAATACCTTATCTATATGATATTTCGTGGTGTTTTTTAGAAAATGAAAATAAGATTTTGGTTAAAATTTAAATTACTTTTTAGTTTTGGAAAAATTTTAAATCTTAATATGTTCTTTCGACGTCTTTTTTTATTTCTAGCTTTATTTCTAAATCATTTTATGTATTATTTCCAGAAGACTTTTTTT